CCGTCCCAGATCTTGCTTCAAATGACCCCCATCCACCCAGATATATCTGCATCAGACCCGAGGCCGATTGCCACCGTTACCGATGGCAAATTCCCTCGTGGACATTGGAGTGAATGCCTGTGGTGGGAATGACCTATCTTTTGATTTAAAACAAATAACGGTTTTCCAGCAAAGAATCTTGAATTCGCCACAGCATTCCAAATGGCCTGAACCCACATAAACTTTTATACTCCAATTATACCCTCTGTAGTCCTTTGGCAAACTCTGCCAACTCCCAAACGCAGAATACTCGACGTAAGACTCTGCCAGCCCTAGATGGAGGGGGCGGGCGGAGTAACACGTCAGAACTGAGAGGCGTACCACGTCACAAGTCTGATGTTCTGCAAAGTGATCCTAAGTGGAAAAAAAAATGGGCCGACTACATTACTATTCACTAGAAACAGGGTTACAGGAAGCTTTTATTTGATAGGTCTTTGGTTGTGCAACTTTGCTGTCTCCGTCGCTCCAACGGCAACATTATAACATTTGCAATATGATTGGTAAGTGGTTGACTCTGTCCAGTATGGACTGTGGTGCGTGATCAAATGGCATGGTGATTCTGAATTCCTTTCCCGTTCTGAATCTCCAAGGCACTTGACCCATTTGAAAGGCGTCTTGGAGTCTTTGTAGAAAGGGGGTTAAAGCTTTTTTTTTCATTCGTTGCAAATCCCTCTTGCTTCTTCCCGATCGAAATCTTGCAACAGTCATCCTGCAGAGTAATACCTGGTGGCGTTCCCTGCGAAATAATCGACCTCCAAATCGAATCGGATTGCACAAAAACTGGTTGATATCCGTTGAGCTCGTACCATTTGTCCACGCGAGTCTTCGTTTTTCGATTGCGAGTCACGTTCACTGGTCGCCTTCTTCACTCCGTCCGTCAGGCAGACGGAAACCTTGAGTCTCGGGGCTCAAGGGGAATTTGCCCTCATTGCCCCAAAACTTGGCGGCAGGCTCCCTCGGGGGGGGGAGCAACTTTTCTCATTTACCGCCTCTCTGTCCCAGGGCATAACTCGGTCCTTGCACGTGGCTCTGGATAAACACGACGGGGGGTGGCTGAACTTGTAAGTTCCCACACTTGCCGAGATGAATGTTAAGTTCCGTTCAACTGTATCCTGGTCTCTCGTGTGAAAGCTTTAGTTGGCATGGTTGTTCTGGTCTGCCAAAAATATAGAAAAGAGCAGAATTTTTCATCTTTGGGGTGTTAGCTGTATGTTATACCGCCTCGGGCTTTGTATCACGTCTGTGACCA